ACAAGCAAAGTCAAGAGGTGAGCAAGTGAGGCCAAGCAGGCACAAGACCTAGCAAAGTACACAAGCGCTGATGATCACAAGGCGGAAGTGCCTTGGTAAAGATATCAGCAGTGTTGGCCTCAGAGGCCACGTAAGCAAGGCGCAGCTGACCCCGCTGCTGCAGCTCACGAGCAAGGAAGTATTGAAGAGCAATGTGCTTTGTTATGTGCTCCAGTCTGTGCTCTCGACACAAGGCCAGCATGGCCTTATTGTCTACGTACAGAACTGGAGGAGAACGAGGCTGCTCTCCAAGGTCAGTAAGTAGGTAGGTGAGCCAGCGTAGCTCCTGTGCAGCCATGGCCCCTGCGTAGATCTCGGCCTCACAGCTGGAGCCGAGAACAGAAGACGAGCGGGTAGACCGCCACGAGACAGAGCCCAAACCAAGGCTGAAGGAGTAACCCTGTGACGACCGCTGTGTAGCGTGGTCGTCAGCCCAAGAAGCGTCTGCGTGACCAGTGAGGACCACTGGACGTCGCCCTCCAAGCACTAGCCCCATGCCCGACGTACTGCACAAGTAGCGCAACACCCTCTTCGCTGCAGCCATGTGCTCTGGTCGGTGTCTCCCAGGAGCAACATAGCGTGCCAAGATGCTAAGAGGGTATGCAAGGTCAGGTCGTGTGCAAGTCATCAGGTACATGAGGTAGCCAACAAGATCTGGGTACGGGGCGAGTCGGCTCTACGGACTCATCCGAAGGCAGAGCTGAGAGCGAGTGGCGAGTAGACAGAGGAGTGGCCTGAGGCAAGGAGTACGTGAAGTCGAAGCGCTGAAGGACCTGTTGCACCATGTGTGACTGAGTCCGGGTAATGGTGCGCTGTGCTCTGTCCCGGGTGATCTGCAAGCCAAGGTAGTTGGGCAGTTCACCCAGGGTGCACGTGTGTTTCTACTGCAGCTCGGACTTCACGTGGGCGAGTCCAGTAGTGTCAGCAGTGGCAAAGACCAAGTCGTCGACATACACGAGGATGTAGAACGGCGGCAAAGAGGTGTCGGTGCGCAGAAACAGCGACGGGTCGGCTGTAGAAGTAGCAAACCCAAGAGCCGCAAGTGTAGTCCTCAGTGTGTCGTGCCACTCACGGGGCGCCTGGCGGAGACCGTAGACTGGCCGCCGGAGGCTCCACTGGGTACCAGGGGGAAAAGTCCCAGTGAAGCCTGGTGGGCGGCGCAGCCAGATCTCCTCGTGCAGGCTGCCCTGCAGGAAAGCTGTGCTGAAGTCAAGAGAGTGAAGCTCGTAGTCACGGTGAGCGGCTATGTGCAGCAGCACCTGAAGAGTGGTCATCTTCGGGGTGGGAGAGAAGGTCTGAAAGTAGTCAACTCCCTGCCGCTGACTGAAGCCTCGAGCCACGTAACGCGCCTTGAAGACAGGCGGAGAACCCGGCGGCCGCATCACCCTGAAAATCCACATGCCACTGACGATGTTCGCCCCAGGTGGGGGAACCTCGTCGACGTAGGTGCCTGTGGACTTCCAAGAAGCCATCTCTATGTCCATGGCTGACTGCCACTGAGAGGAGTAGGGACCCTCGATCGCCTCAGCATACGATCGAGGAGTCAGGATGTCTGGTGCTTCCGGGTCTCCCTCAGAGGCAATCAGCGTGGACACGAGATGAGGCAAAGCAGCAGCAAAACACTGGAACTCCTCCTACCTGTCCTCAAGGACGTCCGTGCTAAGAGCACACTCACCCCCGACGGACGGAGGACAGACAGACTCAGACTCAGCAACAAGACTAGCAGCGTAGTCTAGACGACAGCGAGCAGCAAAGTCGACAAGCTGAGCAACCAAGGCAGACGCAGCAGGTGACTCAAAAGAAGGGTCAGTGACAACAGTAGCCAGGAGACGCGTGACAGTAGGACTGACAGCACGAAGAGAGTCAGACTCTGGGTCAGCAAGGACAGGGAGAGAGGACTCTGGAGGAGACGGCAATGGGACACGCAGAGGAGCAGTGGAAGGACGCAGTGCGATCTGGTGTGTGCCGGGGATCGTAGGAGGACGCGGACGCGAAGCACGACCACTAGTGCGAGCAGCATGAACAGGCGACGCAGGACGAGACACAGGCTCACGACGCTCAGCAAGACCTCCAGTAGGACCAGTGTAGGGAGAAGGAGCAGTTAGGGATGAGGCGGGCTGTAACTGTGACCGCGACTGGACAGGCCGTGGACACTCTAAGGGAGGAGCAGGACCAGTAGAAGGCGGGAGACCAAGAACCTGCTCAAGGAGCGGAACGAAGTACGGCTTCGGCCGCGCAGCGCCTCGAGAAACAGCAGGGACGGCACCAGTACCCCCAGCGGTAGCACCAGCTCCAACAGCACCTCCAGCTCCAACAGCGCCAACTCCAGCACCCTCAGATGCACCAGCGCCAGCAGAACCACCAGCGCCAACACCCCCAGCAGCTCCAGATCCAGCAGCTCCAACAGCTCCAGCAGCAGCAGGACCGGCAGCTCCAGTACCGCCGGCAGCTCCAGCAGTACCTCGAGTAGGACCAACTCCAGCAGCTCCAGAAGCACCCCCAGTTCGAGCAGCTCCAGTACCGCCAGTACGAGCACCTCCGGGACCAGCAGCAACAGTAGTACCCCCAGCTCCAGCAGCATGGCTCCAGCGCCGGGCAAACCACTCGCGCAGCTCCTGTAGAGAGAGTGGCTCCCGCCTTGACGAAGCACCGCCGACGGCCACACGAGTAGACCCAGCGCCCCAAGGCCCCACACCCCCAGGCTCTGTACCCCTAGGCTCAGCACCCCCAGGGTCAGCACCTCCAGACTCAACACCCCCAGGCTCAGCACCCCCAGACTCAGCACCCCCAGTCTCAGCACCCCCAGACTCAGCACCTCCAGACCCGGCACCTCCAGACCCGGCACCCGCAGGCTCAGTAGCTCCAACAGCACCAGAGTCAACAGCTACCTCGACAGGCTCGACTGCGTCTACCTGGGACACACCTGACGGGGCAGGACCCTGAGGGGGGAGGGGGTCTACCGGGGGAGGACCTGGCGCAAGGAAGAGCGGGGGCGGGGGAAGGGGCGCAGTGCGGTAGGGGAAGAGACGGTAGTGAGGTACCGACTCGTCAAAGGTGACGTCCTTGGGGACAGAACACGGCGCGAGGTGGGGTGTTAAAACTGCCAACCAGGCGCGTTAGGGGGGAAGCCAAGGAAGACGCAGGGAACAGCACGGGGGGACAGCTTGTCCGCAGACAAGTCGCGGACAAACGCCCGAGAACCCCAGACCCTAAACGTAGACGCATCGCCAACCTTCCCCGTCCACCGCAAGGTGGGGGAGGTCTCTGGCAAGGAGACCCGGGGCTGAAGGTTGAGCTGATGCGTGGCGTACTGAACCGCAAACGGCCACAGAAAATGGGGGGCAACCGCATGCATCATGGACGTACGAGCGACGTCCATGACCATGCCAATTCGGCGCTCAGCAACCCCATTTTGCTGTGGAGAGGCCGGAAGCGTGAAGGTCTGGCGGATGCCCTGTGCACGACAGAAGGCTCCCAGACGGGCAGAGGAGAACTCCCCGCCTCTGTCAGAGTGCAGACGCAGAACATGAAAGTCCGAGCCGAAACTCTCTCTGAGCTAGAGACGAGCTGCGCGGATCCAGCCGATCAACACCTCAGTAAACGTCACCCTTGCTGCGCAAGGGGAAGACTGTGGTGTAACGCGAGTAGTCGTCAACCACCAACAGGAAGTAACGCTCGTGCCCCTGTCCACGGACGCGGGCGGGGCCCCACACGTCCATGTGGAGAGTCTGCAGCGGAGCCTCTGTCGGAGGAAACTCGGAGGAGTGAGGGGCGGCACGCTGGCGCCCCTCGACGCAGGGGACGCAAGTAGGGCCAGGCCCCAGAGGTAGGGGAGGAAGAGACCGGGGGAGACCAGAGACAAGGACACGGGAGGCCATGCCTCGGAGACGAGATAGGGAGGGGTGACCAAGGCGGTGGTGCCAAAGGAGAGTCCGGTGGGACAGGAGACGACACGAGCAGGGAGCAGACTCAGGACCAGACCTGCACGCTGCAGCAAACACCTGACTCGACGCAGCTACCTGACCAGACGCAGCAACAGGAGGAGACTCAGTGGTCAGTGTGTACAGGCTCGACCCCGGCTGACGGGTAAACGTGGCCAAGTTTCGGCCCGTCCGAGCGTCCGTGCAGTGGGTCACCCGCTGACTCGCAGGAGTGAACTGGTCAACCCCCCTATCCTGTAGGTCCGCTCCACTCACCAAGTTCGTAGAGAACGAGGGGAGGTAGAGACCTGACAGGGTGCCAGAGGGGGTTGCCGGGCACGGTAAGACAGTGGAGAAGCTAGCAAGGACAGGACCCCTAGAGGGGTCCGCCAGGGAGACTGCAACCGGCCGACTGAGCGGCGTAAGAGTGGTCCGGTCTCGAAAGAAAGAGCGGGACGAACCCGAGTCAAGGGTGAAGGTGTGTAAGGCCTGAGCCGACATAGTACCAGAGAGAGCAGACTCACCAGCACCAGAGACAGCAGACGCACTAGCACGTGGGGCAGCAGACGCACTAGCACCTGAGGCAGCAGACGCACTAGCACTTGGGGTAGCAGACGCACTAGCACCTGGTTGCGCAGACGCACTAGCACCTAGAGCAGCAGCCTCACCAGCACCTAGAGCAGTGGCCTTAATGCCCGGGTCAGGCGGTACACACAGGTAACAGTCACCCTCAATACTAGTAGTCATATCATATATGGCAGCAAGGATAGCATCATAGTCAAGATCTAAGATTGCAACCCCCGCCCTAGACAGATCTCCCCAGCGAGGGACTTCTGACGCCTCAGGGAACTTGTGACGCCACGCGTCCGTCAGGCGGCTGAAGCAGCGCTGGGTGGAGTGCGGGCCCCCGCACTGCTCACCAGCTCGGTCGCCGGTACGGAGGACGTAAGTGCAGGGACCAGTGCCCCCACCGCGCTGACGCGCAACGTACCACTCACGAAGCTGCTGAGGGGACAGAGTCTCACGACCGCGCTGGTGCTGCTAGCGCGGACCACCACCTGACCCACTCCTCTGCGTAGAGTCGCGACCTGCTCCACCACCGCCGCCGCCGCCGCATCCGCCGCCTCCTCCACCGCCGCCTCCTCCGCCACCTCCGCCGCCTCCGCTCCCTCCGCCACCACCGCCGCCTCCTCCGCCTCCACTGCTGCCGCCGCCGCCACCACCCCCACCACCACTCCCACCACCACCCCCACCCCCTCCACTGCCTCCACCGCCACCTCCACCGCCCCCGCTAGCCCCTCCTGTTCCCTTGCCCCCCTTGCCCTTGCCGGTGCGGCGTCTCCCGCTAGGGGCAGACGCAGCGCCGACCTCGTAGAAACCAACGAGGTCGGCAGCAGCAGAAGAAGCAATAGAGGGCAAGAGGGGGGAGGGGCAACACCTCTCAAAGACGAGGGTGCGAGGGTCACCACGAGAGGCTCCTACATCGACTATGCTCGTCTCTGCTGCTAGGAGGGCCTTCTCGAGGAGGTCAACGGTGAGAGTGGTGGGGCAAACTGAGAGGAAGTGGTCCCTGACTACGCGGAGAGAATCAGGGAGCCGGGTGACTATGTGGTAGAGGGTGATGTACATGGGGGGGGGGTTCTTGGCGCAGAACTCAGTAGGAAGCGCAGCGCGGTAGCGAGTGTCACTAGTGCGGAGGTGCGTAATAAGGTCAGGCGACTGTGGGAAAGGCAGCAAGGTCAGGGAAGAGGTACGGTAGCATGAGGCGGCTCAGTGCAGCAGTGGCAGGGGAAGAGTAGCGCGCAACTACAGCGTCGTACAAGGTCTGAGCAGTCTTGTACTGGCTAAAGTGTGCACGCTCAGTGGTCGGTAAGTGGCGACGCACAGCAAGACGGGCAGCAGCATCGCGAGTCGCCCACTGTGAGCGAACAGTGCTGTCAGTAGTAGCAGGCGGGGCAGGGGAGGCACCAGAGGTGAGGTCGAACAAAGAGAGGCCGTCTGCCCTATCGCACTGGAGGAACAGCTGGAGGTCATCGACCCAGACCTCAAAGTCAACAGCACGGCCCTCAGTGTCAAAGGTAAGAACACTGGGGGTAGCCATGACTGCAGAGGTCTAGCAAGGAGGGGGCTCACCAGTACGAGTAAGTAGGGCCGGGGCGCGTCGGCAGGACTGGTAGCGGCACAGCGGCTCGGCTGCTGGGCGGCTCGGCTGTCGGGCGGCTCGGCGGCTAGGCGGCTCGGCTGCTGGGCGGCTCGGCGGCTCGGCTGTCGGGCGGCTCGGCGGCTAGGCGGCTCGGCTGCTAGGCGGCTCGGCGGCTCGGCTGCTGGGCGGCTCGGCTGTCGGGCGGCTTGGCAGCTCTGCCGCTGGGCGGCTCGGTAGAGGCGGCGTTGAGGCCGCGTACGAGGCGGTGTCGAGGCCGCGTAGGAGGCGACGTCGGGGCCGCGTAGGAGGCGGCTTCGAGGCCGCGTAGGAGGCAGCTTCGGGGCCGCGTAGGAGGCGGCGTCGAGGCCGCGTAGGAGGCGGCGTCGAGGCCGCGTAGGAGGTGGCGTCGGGGCCGCTTAGGAGCGGCGCTAGGGGCCGCTAAGGGCGGCACGAGGGGCCGCAAGGGCGGCGGCGTGGCCGAGGAGCGGCACAAGGGGCCGACGAGAGGCGCGCAGGGTTGCAGGGGCGGCGCGCGGGGCCGACGAAAGGCGCGCGGGGCCGACGAAAGGCGCGCGGGGCCGTAGGGGAGGCGCGCGGGGCCGACGAGAGGCGCGCGGGGCCGCAAGGGCGGCGCGCGGGGCCGACAGGTGGCGCGAGGGGCCGTAAAGGCGGCGCGCGGAGGCGGCTCAATGGGCCGTGAGAGGGGCCGCTAAGGGCGGCGCGACGGAAAGGAGGGCACTCGGGGCGCGACTCGGGCAGGAGCGAAGCGCGCTCCGGGCAGGTAAAAAAAATATCGAGGTGGGCCCTATAGAGTGTTCCACTAGGGAACCTGCTCTGAAACCATGTGAGAAATGAAACGAGGAATGATTGCATTGAGCAGCATGAGGAGTACAGGAAACCCTAAAGTGTTGTACCCCATATTGACTACCCCACTACAGCCTAAACAGACTATAGCACATATAGTTTGACAGAGAGGCCCGCGGCGCGGAAGCGTGGCGCGACGGCGGAGTCGGAGGAGAGATTGGCGGAACGCGGCGTTGACGAGGACGGTGTCGGCTGGTTCGGAAGGCGGAGCTTCTCGTGTGGAACCTGGCCTTTCGGCAAGGGTGGGCAATGGCTAGGTGAGACGAGCCTAGAACGCTCGTTTGTTGATGGCATCGGCAAAAATGACGGCAATTACTTGGGAGGAGCGAATAGCAGAGAGGATAAGGGAGGAGGCGCCGTGAACGACGGAGAGGGTGATACAGATTGCGGCGACAGCATCAGCCGCGGCGTCGACCCGCGCGGTGGTGCAACTGGCGACGAAGCGGCTTGAGGCGATTCTTGCTGGCGCAGGGACCTAACTTGCCTCAAATGCCGTTGTTCGGGTGGCGTCTTCATCACCGGAACATGCGGTGGTGTCGTCCGCGACGCCTGGCACGGCGGGGAGGAATGCGGAACGAGCTTGCCTTCGCGAACGAAACGTCCAGCGGCGGGCAGCGGCGGTTTGGAAACCGCGTCACTGCACGCGCCGCGACCATTATTAGAAGGAGAACGCGAAAATTTGGGGCTAGCAGGAGCAGATACCGAGCAATGCCGCCGCGCGTGGTCGCTTTAGTGCGCATGATGCCGATGGTGATGATAATCACCATGACGGTGCTGATTGTTGTAGTAATCTTCCGACAAGTCGTGTTGGAGGAAATGTTCAACGTCGTGAGGTGTTTGCTGCCACTTGTTGGCATGTTGAGGGGTGCCGCTCACAAAGAGTGCGGGCTGGCGGAGCGCAGGCAACGACGGATGACACGTATCGAATTTTCGTTGGGTAGAAGCAGGTTAGATACGTAGGGGTAATGGACGGAGCTCGGAACGGCGCGGTGCAGTAGGCAAAGCTTCCGCGCACCGCGTTGGAGAACGGGCAAATGTTGCAATGACGCTTGGCGATGGGAATGGCTCGTTATGAAGGCGGATGCGAGATAAATGGCGTGCAATGGTGGGATGGCTGTGTCGTGCGGAAAGTTTGTTGTGAACGGATCAGCAGCTGAGGACTTGAGCCTTTGAGCTTGAATGTTTGGAAAACCATCTAAGCTACGCACGTAACGACATATGTTTGAATGTTTGAGTGTGTGAGAGTCTAGCTGTAGGAATGATTGCACTATGAAAGAGTTGGGTACAAATATGAAACCCTAGAAGGGGCTGTACCCCATATTGTCTACCCCACTATAGCCTAAACATATATAGCATATATAATTTGACACACCCCCATAGGCAAAGTGGGGGAGAGCAAGGGGTCAAAAGACCAGTCAAGAGAAGCAAAGCAAGCGCAGGGTGGATCACAACGTCACCACACACACCGAGCACAAGCAAAGGGCCACAAGGCCAGTTCACATGCAGAGGTATATACGCAACAACAGCAGTACAGTGATCTCTACCTAGCAGAACAAGCATGCATGTATATATACATAGATCACAGTACAAGCAAAGTCTACAGCAAGTGAGGAAAAGTGGGCACAAGGCCTAACAAAGTGCAGAAACGCTGATGATCACCAGACGGAAGTGCCTTGGTGAATATATCAGCAGTGTTTGCCCGAGTGGCCACGTGAGCAAGACGAAGCTGACCACGCTGCTGCAACTCTCGAGCCAGGAAGTGAAGCAGAGCGATGTGCTTCCTTCTGTGCTCTAGTCTGTGCTCCTGATGTAAGGCAATGGCGGCCTTGTTGTCAACGAACAGCACTAGAGGAGAACCAGGATGCTCTCCCAGGTCGGTCAGCAGGTAGGTAAGCCAGCGTAACTCCTGTGCAGCCATGGCTGTGGCGTAGATCTCAGCCTCACAACTGGAGCTGAGAACTGAAGACGAGCGTGTAGAACGCCAAGAAACTGAACCAGAGCCAAGGCTGAAGGTGTAACCCTGTGATGACCGCTGCGTAGCTTGGTCGTCAACCTAAGAAGCGTCTGAGTGCCCAGTGAGGACAACGTCGCTCCCTCCTCCAAGCATGAGCCCCATGCCCGATGTACTGCACAAGTAGCATAGTACCCTCTTAGCAGCATCCATGTGCACCTTTCGGTACCGACGAGGAGCCACGTAGCGAGCCAGAAGGCCAAGAGGGTACGCAAGGTCAGGACGAGTGCAGGTCATCAGGTACATGAGGCAGCCCACTAGCTCTGGGTAAGGACCACTTGGCTCTACGGACTCGTCCGAAGGTGGAGCTGAGAGCGAGTGACCTATCGCCAGAGGAGTGGCCTGTGCCGAGGACCAGGTGAAGTTGAAGCGCTGAAGGACTTGCTGCACCATGTGTGACTGAGTCAGTGTGATGGTGCGGCGTGCTCTGTCCCGGGTGATTTGCAAGCCAAGGTGGCTGCGCAGCGCACCCATGTCTGTGCACGTGTGTCTCTTCTGTAGCCCCGACTTCACCAGGGCGAGAGCCTCAGTGTCAGCAGTGGCAAAGACCAGGTCGTCGACGTATACGAGGATGTAGAACGGCGGCAGCGAAGTGTCGGTGCGCAGAAACAGCGACGGGTCAGCAGTCGACGGAGCAAACCCAAGAGCCGCAAGTGTCGTCCTCAGTGTGTCGTGCCACTCACGCGGCGCCTAGCGGAGACCGTTGACTGGCCGCCGGAGACTCCACTGGGTACCAGGAGGGAACGACCCAGTGAAGCCAGGTGGGGGGCGCAGCCAGATCTCCACGTGCAGGCTGCCCTATAAGAAGGCTGTGCTGAAGTCAAGAGAGTGAAGCTCGTAGTCACGCTGAGCGGCAACGTGCAGCAGCACCCGAAGAGTGGTCATCTTCGGGGTGGGGGAGAAGGTCTGGAAGAAGTCGACTCCCTCCCGCTGACTGAAGCGTCGAGCAACGTAACGAGCCTTGAAGACAGGCGGAGAGCCTGGCGGCCGCTTCACCCTGAAAATCCACATGCCACTGACGATGTTCGCATCAGGTGGGGGAATCTCGTCGATGTAGGTGCCTGTGGACTTCCAGGATGCCATCTCTGCGTCCATGGCTGTCTGCCACTGAGAGGAGTACTCACCCGCGATTGCCTCAGCGTAAGAGCACGGGGTCGGTATGTCTGGAGCATTCAGGTCTCTCTCAGGGGCAAGCAGCATGGACACGAGATGAGACGCAGCGGCTGCAAGACACTCAAGGTCCTCCTGCCTGTCCTCAAGGACGTCCGTGCTAAGAGCACACTCACCCCCGACGGATGGAGGACAGACAGACTCAGACTCAGCAACCAGACTAGCGGCGTAGTCTAGACGACAGGCATCAGCAAAGTCAACAAGCTCAGCGACTAAGGCAGACGCAGCAGCAAACTCAAACGACGGGTCAGTGACAACTGTGGCTAGCAGACACGTGACAGTAGGGTGAGCAGCACGGGTGCGGTCAGACTCAGGCTCAGGAACGATAGGCAGAGAAGACGCAGGAGGGGACAGCAGGGGAACACACTGCGGAGGAGAGGAAGGACGACGGACTACGAGGTGGGTGCCGGGGAAAGCCGGCTGACGCGAACGAGGAACACGACGACCGGAACGACCAGAATAGACAGGCGAGACAGGACGCGACGCAGACTCACAACGCTCAGTAAGACCCCCTGTCTACTCAGTGTAAGGAGAAGGAGGAGGCAGCGGTGAGCCAGGCAATAATGGAAGACTAGTAGACGAAGGGAGACTAAGAACCTGGCGAAGCACAGAGTCAGACGGTGGCTGAGACGACGGAGACGGTGGAGCAAAGAACAGGCGCGGTTGTGCAGTGCCACCAGCACCAGCAGCTCCAGCACCCCCAGCAGCTCCAGCACCTCTAGCAGCTCCAGAACCCTCAGCGCCAGCTCCTCCAGGACCAGCTCCACCAGCAGCAGCACCCCCAGAACCGGCACCTCGTGTCCCAGGGTCTCCTATCTCAGTGTCTCCAGCACCAGTACTCCCAGACCCAGGGTCTCCAGCAGTAGCACCCTCAAGCTCAACACCTCCAGCCCTAGCAGCTCCAGTACCTCCA